TGCCCTGCACCGCCCCCACCCTGCCCCTTATCCCTTCCCTCCCCCTCCCTCCCCCTCAGCGCCCAGTTCCTTCGACTCGCTTCTTCCTGAGGGTGCGGAACCTGGTGTTCTGCCCACCTGTGGGTCGCCGGCCCTTTGTACGATCTGTCGCGCCTCCAGACTCAGACCACCTTACTTTGGGAAAGCACTGTTTTTAAAAACAAACTCTTACTCAGATGTGTCGTATATGTATCTACGTATATTAAGTGCCTATATATATATATATATATATATATATGAGAAAAGAATTCAGTCCAAGATTCCCTTTCTTAACCTGTCCCCCAGGCCCCCCGCCCCCACCCCCACCCCAGGGGACTTCATCTGGAGGCTCCGGCAGTCTGTAAATACTTTGAAATTCTCTGCAGAAATTTGGTATGATCATTTTTCTGGGAGAAAGCGCCCCTAGCTTTTACTGAAAATTTTAAAGGATCTATGACCTCCATAAATATTTTTAAAAAGAAAACCTGAAAACACTGGCGCTCCTACAACCTGTAAATTGCGATTGTGGTAATTCGCCCAGGTACTTCGGGGCACTCCACCCAGTGTACTGAGCAAGTGGTTGATATAGGAAGTGAAAAGATTGGGTAGGAGAGTTTGGGCTGGGGAACAATCACCCCACCCCGCGGGTGACGAGGAGGAGGAGAAAGAAGGGGACTTTGGCCCCGCCGGCAGCAGCCCCGCCCGCCTTGCTGCGCCCCGCCAACGCACTCGTGAGCACAGCGCTTGTATCTACGAAAAATTAAACTTGGAGGTGAACAGAGTTAAAACAACACACACACACACACACAAAGAACACTATATTAGTAACTGGTAGTCAAAGGAGGTGGAAGGGGAAGAAGATGGCAAACCAGTTGTGAAAATTAGAGAACGTGAAATATCATTTCTCTCCTGCTAAAAGTCAGATGATCAGAGCCACTCAGTAATTCTTTTACTAGTTGTTTAATTTATTGTTTCATTATAAAAGTATTCTAGGCTTATTATGGAAACGAGAGGAAAGAAATTAAACAGTTAAGTTGGTTTATCAGTTGTTTCCTGCAATGTTTCTCTAGGAAGTTAACTCAAGAAGTGGCAAATGTAGAACCCATTAGGAAAAAGAAAAATGCTTGCAGACCAGATCAGAGATTTAAAACAGCAGACCCTGCGAAGCTGTATTGTTTTACATTTATGTAAAAGAATTTTAAAGGATCAGGCAATCAATATTTACATACTTGAAAGGTAAAGAGATGTTTAATAATTACAGTTGATGTAATTGTGTACCTACTATGTGCCAAGAATTGAACTCTGTGGTTTGCCTTTATTATGTTACTTATGTTTCCAGAAAGAAAAAAAAAAGCTTGTGAGGTAGGGTGCTTTAATCCCCATTTTACAGATGAGGAAACTAAGCAGTTAAGTAACACTCAATTTCCCACAGGTAGTAAGTAGCAAAACTGGTAGTACTTAAACTCCCAAGCCTGAATTTTTAAACCACTCATCAACTATATTGTTAAGCTTTTTGGTAATTAATAGAAAGTGGGATTTTAATTAAACCTTAAGCCTCTCTAAGCCCCCATCCCATTTTCCTTTAAATAAAACGGAGATAGTTCTGAGAAAGTGGGGAGGTCTCAGTGACACAGAACTGCCACAGCACATGGAAAAAAAGAACGTATATTTACATTTAGGAGTCTGATTAAAAACCCTAGGACAACTGAGGCCAATTTTTGACCAGTGGGGTCATTGTACCCCTTTAGTCTGTGCAGGTCCAGTGCCAAACTGAAACCAAATTAGCTGCTTCTGCATAGGGGAACGCAAGGGATGCACCTGAAATATCCTTTCTTACCCTCTGAGAATGGCTGGCTAGGAAGAGCAACCAGACATCAACTATTCAATAAATGCAGGGAATGAACAGAAGGAAAGGGAGCATTGCCGAGCATCTGCTATGTGCCTGACCCTGTTCAAGAATATGTTTGCATTTTATTATATCCTTAAAACAATTATATGAGATAGATATGCAGATCCATTTCACATATGAAGAATGCGTCAGTCTCTCAATATTTATTGGACGCTTAGTCCCAAACCCACACATGATTTGTTCTCGACAATGGCACATTCATGTTGTTTGGTGAATTCAGGAACTATCAGGTGAGTCTGATCTTCATGCAGGGCACTATGCAGGTGCTGAATTAAACATACACTCTCCTTGCTTTAAAGCAAGGAGTTCAAAGTCTGTAGAAGGAAAATACTCTCTAAAAAAATGCGTTATCAAATAAAAAATGGTAAGCTACCCAAAGGAAGAACAGCCAACGAATTATGGAGTTTAGAAGAATGAGTTAGACTACTAGCTGAAGGGAATTTTGAAAAGCTTCTTGGAGGAATTGGGATTTTAGGTCTCAAAAATTCAGTAGGATTGGACAGAGGGAAGGGTTTGGAGGAAGAGCATTGTAGGAGGGAAC